ATAAACTGCTGGTCCTGGCCTTCAGTACTTCATTCGTACTTTCTGCACCCCCACACAAAATATCGACGTGCACTGGACCCGTTAAATATATGTAATAAGAACTACTGTCCTGTATGATGACAAAAAGTTAATTGATACTGTACCAGTGACGCTGTCCCAAGCAGATCAAGTCTACAATCAGATAGTAAACCAAGCTGGACAAAGTTAGCACACAGTTTCCGATCATTATATCATCAAATTTTGTTCTTCAACGCACTTCTCACTTCTCAGAACAGTACACTGTGTTGTAACAACGTGGGGAAGTGTGTCAGATGCTAATTATAGAACTTGGTGTCTAGCTGGGGTGACGTGGAAAAGGGGAGGGAAGGGAGGGGGGTAGGCCTGGCCCAGACTCTGACAGCCGAGTGCCTATCGCTCCTCGTTAAAATTCTCCTTATTATATCTTCACTAGACAATTCCTCCTTCCGCCGGCCAGACTCCTACGGGCCAGGTAAGTTATTAGTGGGGATAAAACGATGAGTAAATGCCAAACAGGAACTATAGGTGGTTAAAAAGTCAATAAACAAAAAAGATTAGTGAGATGCAAACAATAAATGTTCTGATAGTAGTTAGGGAAAGGCTGAATGATAAATACATGTTTTGCTGATAAAATAATACAAGTGTCTGTACTGCTCAAGACAGTCTCAATCTTAATTTTGTAAGCTACAAAGAGGCCAATTTGGCAATTAAGGGGTGCCCTATTCCTTCTGAGGGCTGTCGATAGATTTGTCCATGGGACTGACGTCATCGTTAGGCGTGTGTTTGGCCTCGCACGTAGTAGCCTACGAAGTTCCGCGACGTGACGGCTTGATGGGAGGGGAGACGATTTAAAGTTATGAGCCGGCGCGATAACAAACGTGTAGGAATGAGGCTCTGTCGCGACAAATAAACAGCAGTGAATCCCACTTCTCTATTTGAGCGCCTTCAAATCGGCAAAGTGCTTTTTGAACGTTGATACATGTTCGTTTGGATTTACTTAAAACTGAATAAAAATCGTCATCAGCAATAAATCTCCTCACAACAGTCCAGCTGAAAAAAATCTCCGCCCCTGCTAATTATAATAAAAAATAATAAAAATAATTATAATATTAATAATAATAATGATGATGATGATGATGATGATGATGATGATGATGATGATGATGATGATGATAGTAACAATTGCATTTATATAGCACATATCCACTCCCCACAGCATGCTCTATGCGCTTTTACGGCTATTGTTATCCCAGTAGTATTGGACTTCCACTTCACTCTGTTGTGCGTTGCAGCGATGGTGTCTGTCATTCTTGCTGTTCCCAGCCATGTTGTCAGCTTGTCCAGTATCTTTTCCCTGTCTGCCTCTGCCTCTCTTTCCATCAAACTTGCCTGTTATTACAAAATTCTCCAATACATGTACTTCTTTCCGCATTGTGTTTCCAATGAAATTTGCCTGTCGCTTTCGTATAATATATATATATTCGTCATAAGCTGTCGTCTGCAATTTGCTTCAACCAAGACTTCTTCAAGACTTTTTCTAGCTGTCCATGGGATATGTAGCATACGTCTTATGAACCACAACTCTATTGCCTCAATTGTTCTTTCCAGCTGTCTATTGATTGTCCATGCTTCACTTGATGTAACTTTTCAGTGCTCTTTTTCTTGTTTCCAACGACAGATTGTTGTTTGTAAGCATCTGTTTCATTTTGTGGACGGTTGCTTTTGCTTGGCAAATGCGCTTTTAATTTCGGTGTGACATATCCCATCTGATGATATAGATCTAATGGTCCCCAGATACTGTGCCTATAAAAACATTTTAATACCCCCCCCCCCTCTCTTTGGGAAATGCCTAAAGACAACTTCAGTCAATGGCACTGCCCCGGTTGTCTTAAAAAAGAGGAACCACTTAAATAGTAATAGCTCAGTTATCTTTGAACAAATTAAAAATAGTCAACAAACTTTGCAGAATGAAATTCAACCATGGGGACGTTGCATTAATTGTCAATATGATAAAAAAAAAATCAATGCTCTTAACAGAAAAATATCAAATTAAAAAAGTTCCGATCAACTTTTACTGAAACTGTGCGAGTTCTTAAACTCAACTATACATTTGTCTTGTTTCAAATAGTCACAATTTTTTCATTGAAGAACAAATTAACACAACATTGATAAAGCTTTAAAAAAACTTAAGGAAGGTGCTCGCTGCTTAGATCTCCAGGTGCAGACCATTCTTTCCCTACGAGCTCGAATACGCTACTGGAAATTTTGATAACCCTAAGGCATGTGTTTGGGTCGGTTCTTTGGACGTCCTGTTTCAACTGTTCGATTGTTTGTGGGTTGTTTCCTTATACTATGTCCAACCCCCCCCCCCCCAAAAACAAAAAAACAAACAAACCCAAACAAACAAAAAAAAAACAGGGAAGAAAAAAACAACAACCAACAACCCCCATGGGGATCAAGTTGATGAAAAATAGAGGCAGGAAATTAAGGAGACACGAGACGCGAGAGCCTCTGACGTCATCAATTACCAGTACCAGTACTGGCAGTGTTTGCAGGTAAAATACCCGTCCATGTATACAGCTTTGCTGTTACCGCCCAGTACGTCTTCAAAGGCCAATGTGAGGATACATTGACTGTCTGTCATTCCGGCTTTTGACGCTAGGCTCTTCTCCCTTTCTGCTCTCTTTATCGTCCCCAAAGACTGCGCGGGCATTGTGCAGTCACGTCGACCAACATGTACACATTTCGTTCGTTTAAACTGTCGAACCAGATTGATGTACTCGCATTTGTTCAGTGCATGCTGTAACATTCCTTTTACACTTTCTTTAGCTGTATTCTTTTTGTTCTACACATAACAAACCCCCTCTCTCCCCCCGGTAAAATATACTGTTGCACTGTCGTTTTCCTACCTCGAACCCCCTCTCCCATCCCCCCCTCTCTCTCATTCTCTCTCTGTCCCCCCC